TACATACCAAGTTTGATGAAAATCGGAAAAGAAATAAGAAAGTTGGCAATGCGCATGCGCACTACGCAAATTCGATAATTCCATCAAATTTAGAATTTGATTATACACATACATACCAAGTTTGATGAAAATCGAATAATAAATAAGAAAATTGGCAATGCGCATGCGCACTTCGCAAATTCGTTAATTCCATCAAATTTAGAATTTGTTTATACACATACATACCAAGTTTGGTGAAAATCGGATAAGAAATAAGAAAGTTGGTAATGCGCATGCACACTACTCAAATTCGATAATTCTATCAAATTTAAAATTTGATTATACACATACAAACCAAGTTTGATGAAAATCGGATAGTAAATAAGAAAGTTGGCAATGCGCATGCGCACTACGCAAATTCGATAATTCCATTCAATTTAGAATTTGATTATACATATACATACCAAGTTTGATGAAAATCGAATAGTTAATAAGAAAGTTGGCAATGCGCATGCGCACTTCGCTAATTCGATAATTCCATTAAATTTAGAATTTGATTATACACATACATACCAAGTTTGATGAAAATCGGATAGTAAATAAGAAAGTTGGCAATGCGCATGCGCACTTCGCAAATTCGATATATCCATCAAATTTACAATTGGATTATACAAATACATACCAAGTTTGGTGAAATTTGGATAAAAAATAAGAAAGTTGAGAAATTAAGTAGGGGTATACCTTTCATGTGCTTTCGTAAGCTTAACTTACTGTATAACACTTTTCAATCCATCCTAGAACCTATTTATACACCTTGACTGGACACAAAACATTTTAAAGAAATACTAGAACTGTTCTAATAACAGTACTGATGCAGGGCGGGTTACGACATTCAGGTACATACGAAGATGGTCTATTGCAATTACTTCATGTAAATACCTTTCTGCATCTCTAAATGCAAATATCCAAAGGTGCCTGGAGTTTAAAGTATATTTACTAGGAATAAAAGAATATTTGTCAATTAATAAAGAATAAGTTTGATGAAATCCGGATAATAAATAAGAAAGTCGGTAATGCGCATGCGCACAAGAAAAATTAAAAATTTCCATCAAATTTAAAATTGGATTATTCACATACATACCAAGTTTTATGAAAATCGGAAAAGATATAAGAAGGTTGGCAATGCGCATGCGGACTACTCAAATTCTATAATTCCATTAAATTTAGAATTTGATTAAACAAATACATACCAAGTTTGATGAAAATTGAATAATAAATAAGAAAATTGGCAACGCGCATGCGCACTTCGCAAATTCGATAATTCGATCAAATTAAGAATTTGTTTATACACATACATACCAAGTTTGGTGAAAATCGGATAAGAAATAAGAAAGTTGGTAATGCGCATGCGCACT